AACGACTGACCAGAAGTAATGCTGTACCATTGATTGTTTGTATGCACTAAATATGTAAGTAAGTAATTACCTATAATACTAACCAAGTTTTCCACACAATACCAAAGCATAATGAACTATTAATTGCAATTCAATTGCAATGGAGGCCCATTCAAAAGATTTTTATGAAAAGCTGCTATTATTACGCGAGCACTCAAAGGGTAAAAAAAAATCGTTCGTGCTCTGTAGGTCTCAAAGCATGCTCAATGCATGCTCATACATGCACACACATAAAATATAAGCGATTGTATGAAGCTCATAAGCGGTCATGGAAATCCTTAAAATAAAAGCGAATCAAGCAAATCGAGCAAATGAAGCAAAAAAAAAAAGGCGCGGCTAGTTGAACTTAACTCAGCGTTGCGCTTTCTGCACCTCCAAGGATCACAGATTAAAAGCAAAAACACTTCAACACACGGTTATGCTACCCGCAAGCCAATTAAATCAGATGTATGTACGTATGCAATCTCTGGTCAATGCTTTTACTGCTAAAGGATAAGAACGTGCAGCAAGGGGGTTTTTTAGGTGCGGATAGTTTATTGATTGGCAGAAGAAAGGCAGAAGAAGGCAGCAGAAGGTATGGCATATGGGGAAGCATAGCATAACAAAAAAATAATATTGCCTACAAATATACTTAATACGTATTAACGCGATTAGTAATTGCACAAATCTACTATGTAATGGGCAAATATTTAGTGCTGAATGGTATGCTGAAGTTGGGTATTTTAATTGGAGTTTTATTGATTTTTTTTTTTTTGCCACTTATTAGGTAAAACATTTAACTACTCCACTTAGTGGTTGAAAATTTTACCTCTTGGCGCCCAGTAGCCGATTCGAAGCGTTAAATACCTGCGAATGCATACTGACTTACTTTAACTATGCTTACCTTCAATGACCTCTGTGCGAACCTTCATTTGTATGTATGTATGTATGTATGTAGTTATGCACTTGCATTGCGTATCTAGAATTGTTGGGGTTCTCGTAGCGAGAAAAGTAGTCGACGAGTGACGGGCAAACTCATTTGCACTAGTCAGTTGGTGAAGTCAATGACCATGTTGTGGTATAATAACACAATTTTCCGCATTTAACTTTGTTTAAATTACTGCACTGAAACAAAAAAAGGCATCTGAAGTTTGATATTTTAAAAACATATTTTTGATGAGGTTTGGAGAATGAGTTTCCCTATTTTAGGAATTAGTTTTCATGTGTGAGAGAACTGGAAAATCGCGTTAGCAAAAAGATTGCTAATACCGGTTAGCTTAACTAAAATACATATGGCCTAACTGGCATAGCGGAGGATGAATCAAATTTTTCTAAAAATATCAGCTTTCCGTCAGCGACTTTGTATTAAAGGGGTAAACTTAAAAGGTAGTACAAAATATTGCAAAGAAGCACATTTGACTGTAATGCGAAGAACGAAGTACGAAGGACAACGGATCAAAAAGAAGTACTGTACTTCCGAAAGAAGTACAGTTGGTCACATAAGGTATGAGTAACTTGGGATTCGAAGTTTCTGCCGCCCGTGCGTATGAGCAACTTTTGAGCGCTGAGGTGCGAATCCAGACGGCTGGTATAAGTAACTTTTTTTTACATGCATATGTAGCTTTGGTAATAAGGAAGAGCGGCTCATATTTTGAGATCGTATGTTATTTGAAAGCCTAGACTTCAGTGGCCTGGAGAAGTACTCTTTAACTATGATTTTGAAAATAATTTCACTAGTTCTACATATTTTCATTTCATGAATACCATTTGTTTTCAATTCTTTTCGTTTCTTTTCAATCAATCACGCCACTTTGCATTTTTTTATTTAATTTTTATTCATTATTTCATTTGATTGCATTCTATTTCATTCAATTCCTTTTATATTCATTTCGTTCTACTCTATTCCATTTCACTTTTTTGCATACATTTAACTTAATTTCTTTGCATTTCTTTTCATTCCATTAAATTTTAAACACTTTACTATTTTCCCTCATATTAAATTTTTCTACAATTTTCTCCGTGTATTCAACGTCAACTTTACCAGCGGATGCCCTGGCAACGCCTTTATGCCGCCGACTTCCTTTATTCCCGTCATTTCCTCTTCTACGTAGTTTGCCATCGCTCGCTCACACACAGCACCGGAAATGCCTCATTACAAATGGCCTAGACTTGACTTTGTGCGATGGTTGCTTCTGCTGCAAGCTCTCTTCTATGTTGGTAAATGCTAGCAAATCCAATTTCCACTAGTGTTGGTGGCATATTCACACGCATGTGTGCACGAGTGTGTGTGTGTGTGTGTGTGTGTGTGTAACAGTCGCTGCTACAAATGAAAGTGCAGGCAAACGTTGCAGGCGAATTCAATTAGCTCGCTTGTTCGTCTGGCTATGTGGCTAGGAGTAAAGTTTTCTACAATTGCACATACATACATACATGTGTATGTATGGGCATATTTTTGTATGTACATCGATACATACTTACATGCCTTCAAACTATGTACATATGTACTGGATATTTTTATGTACTTGGATAATTGTTGGTACATACTTTTGAAACTGTTTTTGTTTTTTTAAGATTTACCAACAAATATACAAGCATACTTATGTATATATAATTATGTATACTTGTTTACATGCATTCACATGCTTTATGTTAAGTATGATTCAGTTTTGGCTTAAAGCGTTTAAAAGTTCTGCTACTTCATTTTGCTTTCTGACTTTCTGGCAGTTATTTGTTTATTTTCCTTCCCACATTAATTACAAATATTTATTTATTTATTTTTATACCTCCCTCATATTTTATGTAAATATATGTATATACAAAAGCATATATTTATGAAAATGTGTTTCTCATAGTTCAATGGCCTTGCATATCTCTTCAACGCCTTACTTTGTGGAGGTATTTATGTACATACGTGTGTTTGGGTAAGCTAAACGTATAAAAAAGTACCTTTATTTCTGAAGTAGCAGTTGCTATTATTAGCAGCTACCGATTGAGTAATATTCAATAGATAACTTGACATACACTGGCGGTCATTAGAATAGACTCGCCTTACTTTGAAGAGTTTTGGCTATATTTCCATGGTTTATTTTAGGCTTAATATTTTTTTTTACAAAAGCCTGGCTAGCTATATAACAAGCACAATATAAATTCCCTTTTCAAACTTTATACAAAAATTATAAAAATTCGACAAATTTTCACAAAATGTTTAAAATTTTTATTCAGAGTTTTTAGAAAAATTTCTGGTATGCAGTTCTGTAGCCCATTCAATTTTAGGATAATAAAGTGCAAGTTTCAATTGGCTACAAAATACCATTGATTTTTAAGAATTCTGTTGCTGACGGTGCAACGAATTTTTTGCCATACAAAGTGTGCTCGACAATTTTTTTATATGGAAGAGAATGACAAAAAAAATTGTCAAAATCAACGATATTTTCTAGCCACTTAAAACTTACACTCAATGGCCGAGTCAAAAGCACACATAAGGCATGATACACTAGGGAGATTCTTCCGTCCAAAATATTATGGATATCTCCAAATTTTCCATTATTAACTTATGTAAATAGATTCAAGTTAGAGCAACTCAGAAAAGAAATCTCATAAAATACTTTTCAGACAGAAATTCTTAATTGTAAAGTGTGCGTGTGAGTGTGTTTGCTTGCTCTAAGTTACTCCATCTAAAAAGCTGGTGCCGAAAATCGTGCTATCAGTTGCACTAGTCTCATTTAGCGCAGGGTCATGAAACAAAAAGTACAGTAAGTTAGAGCAAGAAAAATTGTCATGAATCATAATTTTGTGAGATATCTTGACCCAGCAGCAGCTCATTAAATAATTTTAATAAATTGGAAGCACAAACATTTCTCTAAAAAGCTCGAAACCTTCCATTGAGTTTTTTTAAGGAGTAATTTGCAAGACCACATCTTAACTAAGGCTGGCCCAAATCTATTTTATATATACATCTCAGTACTCTGTTAATAAATTACTCACTTTACAATCTTTCTCTACTTACATATATTTTAACGTTCCTCGTGTCTCCTCCACGCCAGAAATGTATGCATTTTAAGAGACCAGAATATCATCCTATATTAATTTGTCAGTAGCCTTTGAAGAATGTGTACACGGTCAAAAATTTGGGTTTAATTTTTAAACTGCGCTGGGATTACTGCCTTTATTTTTAATCTTTTATAGTCTACTTTTTCAACCAGTCTATAGTTTTAAGCAATTTCTAATATATTCTGGTTTAAATTTTAGTCCAAAAAGTTCGTGGTTTAAAAATCAAGCCAAAATGTTTTAATTCTAGTTTCTAGGTTTCATATATAGAAAATTAGGTTTAAAATCTAAACCGAAATAGAAAATGTTTGCACACAGCGAAAAATGTGGTGTTGATTCAAACTCAACATATGAAAGCACATTTACATGCGTGGCTGTAGCTGAGCGTGCAAAGATGTTTGATACAATTGGTTGCTACCAAGGCTGTCCAGGTTCAATCCCCATCAGACGGAGCATGAAATTTAAGATTTTTAATTTTTTGTTCTTAATTATGAAAATGTGCTCTCTTTTTTTTAAACTTGGAAGGTTTGTATTTGAAAATGAATTTATGCAGTTTGGTCATATCTGTAGTCCAAAAAGTTTAAAATTAAAACCGAAATTTTTAACCGTGTATTATCATTGAAATGAAAGAAAATTGTCAAAGATATGCAGTTTAACTATCGTGTATATATATATATTACAATTTAGAATAGTAAACAAGTTGTGAAAAATTTCAAATAATTTTTTGTAACAAAAAAAATTTTTGCCACATACAATTTTGGGAGTGACCGTGTAAGTATTTATGTATTTACAATTTCTTTTCATATTAATTTTGCCGGTCATTATCGCTTCCTCGCCGATCAGCTGCAAGATGCGGTTAGACTGCTGCTGATAAACCGCCTTTTCAAGTTTCGCAATTATGTGCACTTGACTACATTAATGCGCTTTTGATTATTTACTCATTGAAAACATTGTAAACAGTTCTGGATTGACGCTGGAACAGTGAAGTTACTAATATTTTAAATTTTGCTAGAAGCTGCTGTATGTGCATTTGAAATGTCTGAAAGTTTTCATTTGCGTTTAATTCTATGTAATTTGGTGGTATTTATTGTATTTAATCTATCCGCCTACTCTGAAGCATCCAACAGCTGTGTTACACCTTTCGGCGTCTTAGGAGATCAGTTGCCGCTAAGCGACTGCAAACCAATGGTCGACTTTTTAAATGAGTATGGCTTGAAATTGACATCAGACCACAGGAAATTTCTTGAAATGAGTTTTGTGGATTTCAAAAAGGTAATTGGTATTAAATAGAAAGAAATAATATGGATTTTGAAATATAAATATCTGAAGAGATCCCTCGGTTTTCTTCGGCTCGAAAACTCAATTTCTGCTTAACACTTCAAGCGGCTTTGATAATTTTTTAGGAATGGTATAAAAAACGCTCTTTAAATCTCCTTTCAGCGCATTGTCTGCTGTGACCTCGACTTCGATTCCGTGCGCTCTTTCGATTCAGTTGGCGTTGAAATACTTCGCAATCAAGCTTGTGGTGATAATTCTCGCAAGCGAATCTCTTTCGGTTCCGAGAGCACTTTCCTCGCTCATCCCTGGGCCGTCTTACTCATCTATAATCGCGGTCATAAATTCCAATGCGGCGGTACTTTGATAACGAATCGTTATGTGTTGACAGCAGCGCATTGCGTAAAAGCGCATCTGTAAGGAATTTCTGTTTACAAATTTATGTACATACCTACACATATTCGCATAGCTGTGATTATGGAATTATAAATACTTACGTATATCAGATCATCTGATTTTTTTTTCAGTTCTGGTGTTCGTTTGGGCGAGCACAACATTAACGTTACTGTCGATTGCGAATTGGATGAGCTGGGTGAAGAGCATTGTCTAGCGCCGCCGCAAGATGTTGGCATTGAAAAGTTGATTAAGCAGCCGGGATATTCAGCAACGAACTACAACAATGATATAGCCTTACTACGATTGGAGAGGCGAATTTCATTTTCAAGTACATATCTACGCATATACTATACATATATGAGGCCAAGAGAGCAGAAGTGGCCTAACCCACAATTTAATTTTTTTTTTTGTAGTTAACTTCTTAAAAGAGTTTCAAATGTGATACAATTTTAAAATAAAGTTCGCTATTCCTAATGAGCGACTGTTGTTATTGAATTTATCACATTTGAGACTATTTTAATTAGGGTGGGTTAGGCCACTGTTGCTCTCACGGTCTCACATATAATACGGGAATTATTTACCAAAGCTCAAATTCGACCGTTCCGCAATCCTTTAGGCAGCGTAAAGCCCATCTGCATACCGGAATACCAGAACCAAGTGTTCGAGAAGGAATGGGGCATTATAAGCGGCTGGGGTTCTACAGAGAATTGTAAGAAAGCCATGCATTACTAATATTCTTTGCAAGTTGATATCCTCCCTCCTTTCCCCAGCAACCTTTTCGAATGTGCATCGTCAAGCTAACATACCGATCATATCGCGCGAGAGCTGCCAGTCGGTATATCGGCGTCGCAGTGTGGACAACACAAAACTCTGTACGCGTGGCATTGAAGGGGAAGACACCTGCGATGGCGATTCCGGTGGACCCCTGTACGTTCGCGTAGAGGGTCATGCTAGTGAACGTAAATTTCGTTATGTTCAAGTTGGTGTTATATCGCTGGGTTATCATCAGTGTGGCACGAAAAAGAATACACCGGCGTTATATACAAATATTGCGTCCTTCTATGATTGGATTGCATTCAGCATAGAGCTGTGAAAATAAACACTCTTTAAAATTTAAAATTAAAGTAATTTTTTTTTGACGTAGAATACGTCTTACCTTAAGGTATGGGGGCTATGTTCAAATGTTGTAGTTGTAAATTTTAGAGCTTCACAAAAACGCTTATTGCACGAGAACTAATAAAGCGATTTCAAAGAAAAGTGTGGCATTTCAAAGATAAAATTCCAAACCTATCGAAAGATTCATTTTTGTAAATAACAAATTCGGTTTCTGTCGTAAAAACAACGGTAAACATTGCCTTATTTTGGGGTCAATTTTGAGCCTTTAAAGTGCTCTAGCAACTTATTGTTGGCATATATAACTTTCATTTTCGGGATATAGGTTCTTTGGAGCAGTAGAAATATTATCGGGTACAAATTTTATATAAATTTAACAAATATTGAGCATTTTAAGGCAAAAAATTGTTGAAA